TTTTCAGAATCAACATTTTCTATGGGACCCTATACTACAAAATACTCCCACAAACACGGGCCATCGATTGCAAACAAGATTTGTTAATTTGCACACACAAAAAAAAGTATTTTCCCTCACAAATTCATTCAAGACCATGTTGCAAAAATGAATACACCCCAATGAAAGTCTTAGAAGCAAAGCTAATTTTTACACAACAAAATCCTAATTAACAAGAATTCAACTAACAGGCAAATCTAATTATTCATTAAACAGGCTATTAAGCAGACAGTTGATTATAAAAGGGCGTTTCTTAACAAAGAAAACCCCTTCCCATTTCAGCAATGGCACCACATGGAAGAGCAATGTCTCAAGGCCTGAGAAAGAAAATAATTTCTTTACACAAGAAAGGTGAAGGCTACAAGAAGATCAGCAAAGCTATACTTATCGGTCAGAATACTGTAGAAAAGTGATAAAAAAATTTAAAGATGGAACTGCAACCATCTCACAGAGACGTCCAGGCTGTCCATGGAAGTTAACACCTCGACAGGAGCGCCTTCTGATGGGAAGGGTTGAAGAAAATCACCATTAAGTTCACTGCAGTTAGCTAAAGAAGTAGAAAGCCAAACTGGGGTGATTGTTTCCCATGACACAATGCAGCATACACTGCAGAGCAATGGCATGCATAGGTGACATCCATGAAGGAAGCCTCTCCTAAAGCCCATGCACAAAAAAGCCCATCTAGAATTTGCCATGGTCCATGCTGAAAAAGAAGACGACTAATGAGACTCTGGAGTGATGAGACCAAGATAAATGTTTTTGGAACAGATGGCTTCAAAACTGTATGGCAGTACAAAGAAAAATGCAAGGTGCCTACAGTGAAACATAGTGGTGGCAGTGTCCTCCTGTGGGGCTGCATGAGTGCTGCTGGTGTCAGGGAGCTACATTTCATTAATGGCATTATGAATTCACAGATGTACTGCTCTATAATGAAAGAGAAGATGCTACTGTCACTCCATACCCTTGGTCGTCGTGCACTTTTCCAACATGACAATGATCCAAAACACACATCTAAGGCCACTGTTGCATTTCTAAAGAGGAACTGGGTGGAAGTGACCCAGTGGCGAAGTATGTCTCCTGATCTGAACCCAATCAAACACCTATGTGGAATTCTGAAGAGACAAGTTCAGCATCACTCTCCATCCAGCATCCAGGCTCTAAAAGAGGTCATTAAGAATGGCAAAAGGTAGATATTGCAATATGTTGCCAACTTGTTCATTCCATGCCTAGAAGACTTGGGGTTGTCCTTACAAATCATGGAGGTCATACAAAATACTAGATGCAGTAGTTTCTGTTGTGGAGTGTTCAGTTTTTCATCAACTAATTTGAGTGAAACTGAAGATTTTGTAATCTAGGTTCTATTAACCTTACTTTCATGTAATGAGCTAAACAAATGTTCTATAAAACTCAGTTTTGCCAACATTTTGGAAATTGTTTTTGTGTTCGTTGAGATGTTGATTAAAATCTTACTTTTCAAAAAGGGCGTACTCATTTATGCTGAGCACTGTGTGTATATACACACACAAATAAACAAATCTATATCTATCTATCTCCACACACACACACACACATTGATGCATTATTATTGAAGCCAAAAAAGCACACACATTGCTCAACTGAAAAGTATAAAAATCAAGGAGATTTTTTTTTTGCACTTCCCCTTGGGTTTTTATGTTTGTGTACTTTTATATAGATACTGTATATATAGTTTTTAACACATTTAAAGGACTTTTTGTATTTTTATCTATTGTCTAGTTTTTAGAACAAATCTATACATATGGAACAGCGCTGCTCACTGATATTTAATCCAAAGATGGTATAGGAGAGTTTGTTATATTTTATTAGTTTTTTGCAAAAAAGTTTTAGCACATTTTGCACAAGGGGATTTTTCTATATATAATTTTATCTTTTATATATTTCTTGTTAGATATTCCATTTTTTTAAATTAGATATCAGTGAGCAGCGCTGTTCCATATGTTTAAGATTTGTGAATTTAATGGGATTCCATTAAGAATTGCATTGGATTCCACTCTCTATTTGTGAGTGGTCTATGGGTCCACAGCACATTGCTACATATTATATTTATTTATCTAGCTTTTTAGCCCCGTTGTAGGGGGAGTGCTGAGCCCCCAAAACATGTTGGATGTTACAACATAGAAAAAAAGCTGTTAAAAAGTACTATACAAGCTGTTGTGGCACCCCCATCCTTACAAAACCTTAATATACAAGTTTGCATTTTTGTATGTAGATATTGTAGAGGTTCCGAAAAGTACATATACACGTTACAAACCTCAGAATTACCCTCAAAGCGTACAAATCTCAAAACACAGATGTAGCGTGTGCATGTGACTTGTAAGAAATTGCTTTTCCTAGCCATGTCTTAAAATCTTAGATCATTCGATCCAGGAGAGAACTCAAGAACCTGTAATTTTCTCACATATGTGCTTAAAAGGTAAAATACCTAGAAAGTAGATTGTAGCATTAGATGCACTGCTTGGTGTAAAGTGATGATTTTTTTTTTTAAAAGTAGTTTTAAAGGCAGCACTTTATATTTTTGGCATCCAGAAGTGCAAGTAGCCCAAAGAATTAAAATGAATGATGCAGTCTAACCCCACTTTCCACCGGCTCATTATTCCACTATCTGCAGAGACCTAAAAGGTTAGTAAATATTACGGTAGCCTTGGCAATTACAGGCACTTAGCGAAGGCTATGTTTAAAGGACTGACAGCTCCTAAGTGCCCATCTTTATGATTGTATTTCAGTGCAGTGTTGTTTTTTTAACCAGTGAGCTGTGATGAGGGAGATAGGGGGGCTGTGGGTGATAAAAGGGATACAATTCCATTGGCCTTAATTATTTATGGTACCAGCTGTTAGGGAAGCTGGGCCACGATAATAAATCTTATCGTCCTGTAACCACGTTAGGCTCAGAGTGTGTCCAGGAGCATCCCTGAAATTCAGTTCCATTTTTCACATTCTGACAAGACTCACTTCAACGGTAGCTGCTCTTATCCACAGTAATGTCTCACTGGGGCGTCATTTGGCTGCAGTATAGTTCTTGGAAGCAGTGAGTTTTAGTTCTGACTCTTGAACAGTAGATAGTATTTACATAGGTCTTGTAATGGTTTTGCCTATGATTGTTGGATCTTGTACTGTAGGTATACAGCTACAGACCTGAGAAGCTCTACATAGAGGTGCCACAAAGCCGAGCTCTGGCCAGGCGGCTCTACTGACTTTTAATGTGGAAGGGAGGACATGCGGCAAAAGGAAAGGGTTCTTATTAGCTATTCAGTTAAAAGCAAAGCAATAGCACTTTTTTTTTTTTTTTTTAACTGATTCAATTGACTAGTCAACATACAGCACCCATCTACCCAATCTGTATGAATTTACAGATACAAGGTGGTCACCTAATTTAGGCAATTCAGTATGAATTTACAGATACAAGGTGGTCACCTAATTTAGGCAACAATGCTCAGATCGGGCAGCTACTGTCTCATGTCTCTGGAAATCTTCAGCATGGCAACAGACTGCCTTATCTTTTTAAGAGTTTGATGAGCACTGAGGGATCTGCCCATCCCTACATGCATCGGGGGTTACCAGCAAATTGATGAATATGGCACAATTGGCACAAAACAGTTTTCCTTTCTACATGTAAAAGGAAATCTTTCTTCACTCTTCTTGTTATCACCTCAATATATAGCTCCATATACTTCAAAATGTTTTCCTTCTCCCTACCTAAGTCTCCAATTGGGAACACAAGCTCGGCAAATGCATTTTAGAAAAAGACCAGCTGCACAACGAAAGGATCTGTAAATACCTCTGCTACTAAAACAAGTTACATAGATGGGGGCTGTACCTAGTACCAACACACATTTCCTGCTTTATATCAGGCTACCCTCTCACTCGTTTAAAGTCTGTGACTCTGTTGCACCTCTCTGCATACATAGTGGGACTGCCCCACAATGAACAGTTTTGGATCTACTAACTTACTGAAAAACTCACTGGATGCTCACACACTAAGAGTTCCTGTGCAAGAATTGCTTTATAGAGAAAAAAAACCCCAAAATAACTGCACAAGCCCTGAAACCTGCCTGATCACTCACTTGACAGGTGGTGAGCAAACTATTGCACAAGCCTGCCTAAATTTAATGCCATGTAGGACCTCTGCATCAAATAAGATTAGCCTGCAAGCTTTAACTGCTCCCTTTTATCCTTGAGCTAAAAATCATCTACATCCATGGACCCACGGTTGACTCCTCTCACCTATCCCTAAACTCTTCCTTCTCTCCCAAAATTCACCTCCTTCCTTTTCTTCCGCTCTCTTTTCACATCTCTCCATTTTCTATATTTATCTCCTCTATCTCCCATTTCTTCCCTTACTATCCCTACTTCCACAACCAACAAACCTCCACAGTCCCAAAAACACCCACCTTCCCCCTTCCTTATTCCTTCCAGGATCTTAACATTATTCTACCCAATTCCTTCAGCAGTAGAACTCTATAGATTACACTGCAGCACTGCAGATGCCTTGGATACCTAGTACCACCCTCTGACTCATCATCTCAATGTATGCCAACAGTAGAAATGTAACCTTCACTGATGCCGACCTGTAAAGCCCCACCACCTATATCCATCTCATCCACATCCCTATGTACCCATCGCCAGACTCTCCATCCCCTAGTAATCTCTTGTATAACACTGCATGATGATGATCTGAAATCAATCACTTGCACATGAAGTACTGTGTTTACTTATTCTTGTTTACTTTGGTCACATGACCTTTTTTTTCTGTAAACAGTGAACTTGGTCTTCTGGAATCCAGGATACCTCCCGATGTGGGATTATGAAAGCTGATCAGAGCAGACCAAAAAAAAATACAGTTCTGTAGCCAAAGTAAGGCCAGAAACCTCTATGGCAAATCGTGATCTAGAAGCATCTGATGATTGAACATAAAGGTCAATAAAGACCATAAAGCATAGAAAGGCAGCACACCAACAAGAAATCTAACCCCAATCTATCAGATGTAACAACAGCAGTTGGACTCTGCTCCAAATAATTGGATTTAGGTGTTCCAATTACCTCCATGGCCACATGTGTATAAAATCAAGCACCTAGGCATGCAGACTGCTTCTATAAACATTTGTGAAGGAATGGGTCGCTCTCAGGAGCTCAGTGAATTCAAGCGTGGTACCGTGATAGGTTGCCACGTATTTAATAAGTCCATCCATGAAATTTCCTTGCTACTAAATATTCCACGGTCAACTGTTAGTGGTATTATAACAAAGTGGAAGCAACTGGGAACAACAGCAACTCAGCCACAAAGTGGTAGGCCACGTAAAATGACAGAGCGGGGTCAGCACATGTTGAAACTGTCTGCAGAGTCACTAGGTAAAGACCTCCAAAACTTTGTGTGGCCTTCAGATTAGCACACCAGTGTGTAGAGAGCTTCATGGAATGGGTTTCCATGGCCAAGCAGCTGCATCCAAGCCTTACATCACCAAGTGCAATGCAAAGCGTCAGATGCAGTGGTGTAAACCACGCAGCCACTGGACTCTACAGCAGTGGAGACGTTCTCTGGAGTGACTAATCACGCTTCTCTGTTTGACAATCCAATGGACGTGTCTGGGTTTGGTAGTTGCCAGGAGAACTGTACTTGTCTGACTACATTGTGCCAAGTGTAAAGTTTTGAGGAGGGGGGTTTATGGTGTGGGGTCGTTTTTCAGGAGTTGGGCTTGGCCCCTTAGTTCCAATGAAGGGACCGCTTAAGGAGTCAGCATACCAAGACATTTTGGACAATTTCATGTTCCCAACTTTGTGGCAACAGTTTGGAGACGGCCCCTTCCTGTTCCAACATGATTGCACACTAGTGCAAAAAGCAAGGTCCATAAAGACATGGATGACCCAGTTTGGGGTGGAGGAACTTGACTGGCCTGCAGAGTCCTGACCTCAAACCGTAAGAACACCTTTGGGATGAATTTGTTAAGAAACTGCGAGCCAGGCCTTCTCGTCTGACATCAGTACCTGACCTCACAAATATACTTCTGGAAGAATGGTCAAACATTCCCTTAGACACACTCCTAAACCTTGTGGACAGCCTTCCCAGAAGAGTTGAAGCTGTTATAGTTGCAAAGGGTGGGCCAACTCAATATTGAACCCTACAAACTAAGACTAGGATGCCATTAAAGTTCATGTGTGTGTAAAGGCAGGCGTCCCAATACTTTTGGCAATATAGTGCGTGTGTGTGTATAATTATTTAGTTGTTTTTAATGGGGAAAGTAAACCAAACAGTTATGTGCAATTTATACATAACCTTGTGACCATTACACAGTGTTCAAATAGGCATAAAAAAAATAATTAGCTGACAGCTTTATGTTCAATTCTTTGTCTTTTTGCAGAGATCCCTGGCTGAGGTTCTTTCTTTAGATACACAAACAGTCCAGGCTAGGAAGAGGTATTCATATGGCCAATGTAAATAACAGTTAGAGGAGATGTTTGTGCTTTCACAGTTGTCACCGTCTTGCACTCCAGCACTGGGTCAGGCAGGTCGCTTCACACCTGTACAGTTCTCACAGGAATCTACATTTGTCACAGTTACTTGCCTTTGGGCAGGCGTTGTGTCTTATGTAAACATTCATGGGGTCTTACAACTCCAACTTAATGCATCCCATTAAATAAGCTACAGAAAAATGACAAGTCTATGATGCAAGAATAACACAAGGAGGATACTCATGGGATATAAATGTGCATAGTTACATGAGGATGTAGACATAACCAGACTTTTTTTCATGGCTGAATCATTCCTGATTTACACAAGTGCCTTTTTGAGACAAATGTTGGGCTTAAAACATAAAATTTCAGGAAAACTGCTAAATCCAAAGATGAAATACAGACATTCTTACTCTTTTAAATAGCAATTCTGCACAGACAGTATTGTGATTTACACACACCCTACAATGTACAGCCAGACTGAAGACACACCACTTCTGATCAAGCAATTCAGCTTCCCATGACACTAGGCTATGTGTTGGACAAGAAATACATAGGGGGAGATTTACTAAAAATGGACCACTCAGAATCTGGTGCAGCTGTGCATGGCAGCCAATCAGCTTCTAACTTCAGCTTGTTCAATTAAGCTTTGACAATAAAACCTGGAAACTGATTGGCTGCCATTTACAGGCAGAAAAGTACTAAAAGTAAATCTCCCCTGTAAGGTCACATTTGTCCAATGAGCACAGCTGATATTAAACCAAGAAGCAGCAAATTGGTCTTACAGACTAGCAGAGAGTACCTGTGTCAAAATAACAAACCCTTGGTGTATGTATTTCAACTCTGCTCAAAATGGCCATTTTGCTGCCTCAGGTGGTGCATGCTACTTACTGGCACACAGTAAAACAGTCATTTTTAGTGGTTGTGTGGCAACACTATTTAAGTATGTATTCTTAAAGTGATTCTAAAGGTTTATTTTTTTTTTATAACAAAGATGTCTATAGTTACCTGCTGTGCAATGGTTTTGCACAGAGCAGCCCGGATCCTCCTCTTCTCAGGTCCCCCACCGGCGCTCCTGGTTCCTCCCTCCTGTCGGGTGCCCCCACAGCAAGCAACTTGCTATGGGGGCAGCCGCTGCTCTGTGTGTTCATTCACACACGGAGCCATGGCTCGGCCCTGCCCCCTTTCTCTCCTCATTGGCTCACTGACTGTGATTGACTGCAGTGGGAGCCAATGGCTCCCGCTTCTGTCTCAGTCAATGAGGAGAGAGAGTCCCGGGATTGGCTCCAGTGTTTTTTTTTTACCTTCATGCATAGAATGTTGTTAGGGGGTAGCCAAGTTCATTCTCCATGGTCCCACTGTATGTAGGGCACACAAACGCAGTATATTACCCAATTGTTTTGGCAAAAATATAAAAGAGAACGTTATGTCGAGCAGATGCCCAACATTACCAAGTCTTAAAATTGCAATGTTGGTGGCAGTAAAATAGTTAAAGTGTCACTAAACCCAGGACCCTGCATTTACTATATCTGGTCTCACACAGTACATGGAAGTGCAATTATTTTAGTAAATATAAACTGCTAAATACCTTTACTCATCAGCAGTTAAAGCAGTCTTGTGACTTCGATCAGTGTTCAGCAGAGCACTGGTTAAAGCTTGTAAGAGTTTTCAATTTGCTCTAGGAGGATGCAGGTCCCCTGACCTCTGTCTGGACAGTGCAGATTGGCCCTATGCTGATCACATGCACGCCCTCAAGAAAAAAAACCCTCTTGGCAATACACACCAAACTGAGCATGTGCAGAGTGACTCCACATGACATGTCTTATCAGGAGATAAAAGAGGGGCTCTGAAAGAAGGGGAGGATCAGAGAAGTCAGGATCAAACAGCGTTTTTACACAATGAAGAGGCTTAACCCCTTAAATTCCACAGTGAGTATAACAAGCATGTTTTACTGCATATATTTATTTTATTTATTACAGGTACTTATATAGCGCCGTCAATTTACGCAGCGCTTTACATACATATTGTACATTCATATCAGTCCCTAACCCTCAAGGAGTGTACAATCTAAGGTCCCCAACTTACATTCATACATACACATAATAGGGACAATTTAGACAGGAGCCAATTAACCTACCAGCATGTCTTTGGAGCGTGGGAGGAAACCAGAGTACCTGGAGGAAACCCACTGAGGCACAGGGAGAAAATGCAAACTCCAGGAAGGTGATGTCGTGGCAGGGATTCGAACCAACAACCCTAGTACTGCCAGGTGGAAGTGCTAACCATTTAGCCCATATACAGACTGATTTTACTGTTTTTGGTTAGTAACACTTTAAAGGGCAGTATTCTTACCCACACTGTAAGGGTGGGGGGCATTCTTTCAACTGACCACCAACAAAAGGCTCAAGGCAGCCAAATCAAAGACTATGTAGGGAGGTGAAGGGAAGAAAAGTTGGTCCAACATAGAGCGTAAATAGACATTTTCAAGAGAAGAGGACTAAGGCTAGCCATACATTATTATTTTTTTGCTCAACCAGTGGTTAGAACAAAAAAAAAAAAAAAAGAAAAGAAAAAGACCGGATTGTCCCATCCACACATTCACTCCCACTGAGTTTTTTTCATTCTGATTCAGAACACGACCACTGCTGCTAGTTACAGCCAGCAGCACTGATCATTCAGGAAAAGCCCAATAGGGTGGTTGTACATAATTCAAAATCGATAAATCCACAGTAGTACCACAGTCCCCATACTTGGACTGAGCAAATCAATAGCAAATGAAACACAATATAGCGTATACAATTGCTATACACGTCACATTTCATGTTATGAAAAATTAGCTTTCTTTTTCACAGTGCAGTGCTTTAATATTCTGTAAAATTCAATATATTATGGCTACCTGGAGAAGCTGTATACATTGTTGGTGAACAGAATGCCTAAAAAAAAAAATTTCATGCTTGTATGAGTGGCTCATTGATTTTCTCAGAAGTCTGTACTCAGATACAAGTCGTGTTTTTTAGGCATCACCTGCAATAGGAATTTCAGTTTTAGTGAGATACTTCCCAAAGGTTGAATACGTCTAAAGGGTTGCAGACACTGCAGATTTTATCATCAGAACTCTGGAGTGCACCAGTGTAGAATAAGTCTGCAAATGACATGGTGAAACAAGCAGCGCTTTCTTCAGAGCAGAAAAAGGTAGGTCTCTACAACAAAAAGTTTGTTAAAATACCTGAAATGTACATTGATCAACCCGAGGGGATTTTTATTTTTAAGTGCAATTACCTTTTATTTAACTGCTTCCCATCCGCCCTATAGCATGAATACTGTTACAGGGTGGCACGAGTGCGCAAAATCATGTATATGTATGTGATTTTGCACTTCCGGGCAGGGGTCGAGCGTGAGCCACGTGAACGCCCTACCCGCGCCGCTATTCACGGCCTCGGCTGTCAATCACTGGGTCCCAGCCGGTGAATACTTGCCGGTATCCGGTGATTGAGGAGCATTAGCGACATACAATACAGTTCTCTCCTCTGTCAGCTCCTGCACACTGCTATGTATGGCTTTGTATAGCAGAGCCATGCAAAGCAGTGTGCTTACAGTGAAGCACACACACAGCAAAACAGCACACAGTTATCCCTTTGATCACCCCACATTAACCTCTTCCTGCCCAGTGCCATTAGTACAGCGTCAGTGCTTTTTATTTGCCCTGATCACTGTATTGGTCAGAATGCCCGCCACAGTCCCGCTATAAGTTGCAGATCGCCACCATTACTAGTAAAAAAAAAAAAAAAAAAAAAAACCCCAGTATATACGCCGCCATTTGTAAACGCTATAACTTTCACGTAAACCAATTAAATTACATGTATTGATATTTATTTTTTAGCAAAAGACATGTAGCAGAATACATTTTGGCCTAAATTTATGACGAAATTTGATTAAAATTTTTTTTACTGGACATGTTTAATAGCAAAAACTCAAAAAAATGTTTTATTTTTCTCAAAATTGTTGGTCTTTTTTTTTTTTTTTTTTTAATAACGCAAAAAAAAAAAAAAAAAAACCGCACAGGACATCAAATACCAATGAAAGAGAGCTCTATTCGTGGGGAAAAAAGAATGTAAATTTAATTTAGGTGCAGCGTTGCATGACTGCGCAATTGTCAGTTAAAGGAATGCAGCACGGGAACACAAAACATGGCCTGGTAAGGAAGGGGGGTAAATCCTTAGGAGGGCAAGTGGTTAAGGCATATTAAATAAATGTATGTTGCAGCAGTGGGGGCAGATGCCACCCAAAATGGCCATTTTGCTGCCTCAGGTGGTGCAC